AGTAGCAAATATTCTCAGTAAAAGTGGGAGGTAAGGGTTCAGAGAGAAAGCTATGAGATCTAATTTCCACCCTCCTTCTGGAAACTCTCCTCTTCCTATTTGTCTAGTACAGATTATTAATTTTTTGCTTAACTTTGTAGAAATAAACACAGAAAAAACCACCACAATAAGTGATTTTTAGTGCAAGTTTTTAAGGTCTCTTGGCACTGCTATGTAAATTGTTTAACCAATCTCTCTTAAAAAGACACGGATGCTAAAAGTTCTATATTTTTATTTTAGATAGGACTAAAATTAAAAAAAAAAGATAGATGAATGTGATGTGAGGAAGCTTCTCTTGCACTACTTTTCTCTAACAATGTGGGAAGGCAGACTAAGCTTGAAATTTTTAAATTACGAGTTGAAAGCTTCATTTAAGTTTTTGTGATCATTCTGTCAGTTGAAAACTACCATTTCCAGTGGTTGGTCTTGGGAGCTTCTGGAGAGTTTGGTATCCATCAAATAGTATTCTTCTGCTAGATACAAGCAATATAGACAGCAGTACATATGTTTCCACATCATCCTTGCTGCACATGCTCATACATTGGTAACAAGTCTTGATTCATCAGAGCACCCAAGTATTAATCCAGGGATCCAGCTAGGTTTTTCAAATTGTGTTGAACCCTTTGCTGTTGTGACTACCCTGCTAGCACTATCTGGGCTTACTAATTTAAAACTATTTTGGATATGAACACGTGAGTGGCGATCACATCTGTAGACATTAGGCTGCAGTGTAGACTTTACCTTTGATTCTCTTCTAAAGGACTTTTTTTTCAAAATATTTTTCAATCTCAAGTTAAAAGGAAACAGTCACAAGTCTTGTAAAATAACTTGCCAACTCTAACAAGGAGGAGAAAATAAGAATATGTTGTGTTGAAAATGTTCCAATTTAAAAATCGATCGCTACTAGAATTTTTAGGGGGATAATCCTACATTAAATGGAGCAAACATTTGTTACTTTTTGTTCTTGCATATTTAAAACTACTTAAAATCCATAAGAATCAAGGCTTGCTAAGTATGTTCCGATCAATGAATGGATGGGCCTAAATGGTGTATCAGTTTTAAATTCCTTCTGTGCTAAAGCCATTAAATTTGAACCCAATAGTAGCTTGAAAATTTTAAATAATCACTGAATTAGTACTGATTGTTTAAATTGGTTTTCTTCAACATATTTATCAGCATATTTATGTATTAATTTGGTAAAGGACTTGCATATGAACCTAACTTGAAGCATTGAAGTGGTCTGAATGGACTTGATATGATTGTTTATATGATGCATAAGGTTGAACAGACTGAACTAAGGGATGGATACCAAAAAGAGATTTAAGTGCCTAAAACAGGATTCAGCTGGACTTCAGGAGCCATAGTCCAAAATTAGCATTTGAGGAACACGACTTGGCATCTATCTAAACTTGAAA